ACAGTTGCACCCAACATTAACGCTAAGACGATCCGAAGTAAGCCAGCCCGAACTGCAAAGACCGTCGAGGCTTGAACTATCGCTGGTTTTGTTAACAGCATAACTTCCATGAACTAGTCACGTTGACTAGTTAAAGCCAGCATTAGTGAAGCGTACGCAACGTAGTGCAAGATGGCAGCATCGTTTCGTGCTGTGAACCAACTAATCGAAGCAATGCGTAACGGTAGTACAGGACATCAAACTCGAGTGTACCAGCTTATCTCACTTTTGCTGCCAGGAAAAGGTTTATTAGTTTTGGAAAACTTGACGAAAATCAGTAATGAAACACATTATAGTTATCTAATAATGTAGTTAACAGATAAATGTTAATGATGGGATCATTGGTTTTGTGTCGAAAATTTGCTCCATCTTAGATGGTGACAAACAAAACTGAATTCTGTCCTTGATCCTCGCAAAAATACCGTATTTTTCATTTGAACAGTAACCGCTTAGCATTAAGGTAAGCAAAAAGTTTGTCCGACCGTTACTACAACCGGGGACAGCAGAACAGTAAGTTACGTCAAAATAGATCTATCAAGCCGGAAATGCAGCAGCGTGTTGAAAAATCTGCCCTTTGAATGTCACCAAGCAAAACAGCGAAAGCATTTGCCTCTTAAGAATGAATAAATAATAAATTAGATAGGTACCTACTAACAGTTACTTTGGCTGGCATTTCGTGTTGTAAATTAACAACTGGCATAGTTGACGTCCCTGTTCGTGACGCTTAGGTCCGCGGCATATGGAAAATCAGAAACTTATAGTTTATGAGAAACAAAGTGTGCACACGTTTTTTGCAATATTGGACGCGCTTAACCCTCTTGAACAGAAGCCCATTTCTTATCACTTCGAGCTAGTCTAAGGTCTTTACTGGTTGTGACGCACAGCCACAGTACTACTAAGCGTTAATCTAATTATTTTCCTCGTGTTCGTCGTTGAACTAAGTTTTGCAACTCTTAGGCGAGATCAAGAAAACGTCTTTTCCATCTATCACGTAAATTTTCTTACAAAATTTACGCCATAGATGGAAAAGATGATGCAGTTGATCGCTCGCCAACGTTACCCATGTTTACCATTTGATGCCAACGTGGAATACTGGTATGAAGTTGAACGGCAGTTGTTATGCTGTTAGAAGGAGCAAAATGGTAGGAGTAGTAAGATAGCCCTTACGTCCGTTCGTCCGTCTATCTGTCTCTCGCAATGGCTGTCGCTGTGTATGTCTGTGTTCGCGCACGACGCGCACCGACTCTTATCCAACGAATATAAAGGCAACCTGCTCTAGTGGCTCTAGGCCGCTTGATTCGTTGGTTGGCTATCCGCTGGCTGGCCTGCGAACTGGTTGGTCAGTCGGACCGACTTTTGCTTTCGTTGGACACAATTCCTGCCTGAGTGAGAAGGCTCCCGGCGGACAACAACGACGACATGAAGCCGGGAGTGACCAACACACTGGGTCCACCCGTCCACCAGCAGGCCACCACTACCACCACTGCGGCCGCGCTAATTCTGCGACCCGGCCACAGACGATGGGAGCCTTCCGCAGCTCAGTAGCCAGGAACCAGCCATCCAGCCAGCTCTCTTGCTGTGTCGGCCTGCTTGTGCCAAGCGGTAGGGTGGGAAGGGGGTACAAGACGGGCGAATGGGGGCGGCTTGGACATCGCAGGCTGCGGGGCATCCGCTCTCCGGGGAGGCCAGCGGCTGGCTCATCGGTCCTCATGGCTGCCCCTGGCCCCCGTCTCCTAGGCCGCTAAGCGGCAATAGAGTCACCCCCTCCACTTGCTTCTCTCCGGTCTGCACACTCGCCAGTAGCGAGCGCGTTCCCCCCTTTCATCCCCTTCTGTAGATGGCGTCGCCTCGCCTCTTCTCGTCTTCTTCCCGGCGCTCGTCGCCTCTCCTGCCGCTCCGTCTGCGGATGGTCCCACGTCCTCCCACGATGCTCTTCCCCCAACTTCAGGCCAGTTTCCCCCGCTCGTTCGTTTGCTCGCTAGCTCTGCGCTCGCCTGCCAGTCCGCCAAAGCTAGCAGAGCGTTCGTTTCCCATACCACTCCCTCAGCGCCCTTCGAGGACGTGCTCACTCTGGCTCACCCGCTCGGTCGCTCGCTCGCTTCGCCCGTCTGCCTTCGATGCCTCCGCTCCGTCGCTTGCTCGGCTGCTCGGTCGTGTGCCGCTAGGAGAAAAGAGGGAGGGTGGTGGTGGGGGTGTTTGAGGGGGCTTCCCTGCTGTTCCCCTCTGGCAGCCGCCTGGCTGCTTGCTTGCCTGGCGGCTGACGGGACTGCCGCTTGGTCGCTCGACTGCTCGCTCGGTCGGTCGGTCGGTCGGTCGGTCGGTCGGTCGGCCCGCTTGCCAGCCAGCAGCAGCCTCGCCCACTCTGCTGTTCGTCCCCTCGGGGTGCCTCTCTGCACGCTTCTCTATGCCTCTCCTTTACCGCCCACCACGCTCGTCCACCCGCCACCGTTGATGGGGAGAGACCGAGCGGTGGCAGGGAGAGGCGCTGCCAGCGCGTTAGAGAGCCCAAGCAGAGTACGGCAGAGAGAAAGACGAATCTAAGAGGGGGAAAGAGGACCAAACGGAGTAGCAGTGGCGGGCCGCGGCTGGGTGGTACGGAGCGGAGCAAAGCAGGCCTCCCTACGCCCATTCCCCTGCCTCCCTCCCTGCATCCATCCCTCGCCTCCCTCCTTCGCTCCCGATGCCCCTGCGGGGCAGCAGTCACGGCCGGCCGACGAACGAGCTTGCCCACTCGCTTGTCCGCCAGCTAGCAGCAGGCAGCGAGCCATCCAGCCTGCCTGCCTGTCAGCCCGCACGGATGAACAGCGGCGGCAGTCTAGGACTATGTGCCCGCTACTCGGTGGTGTTCTGCTTCTCGGGAAGGCTCAGCTGCTGCTGCGCAGGCACGCAGGCGAGCAGAGCAGGCTCGCTGGCTGGATGGCTGGCAGGCAGGCAGGCAGGCAGCGGAGACCAGTGGAGAACGGGGTTGCTTGGGCCAAGGGGAGTTAGAGGAGACGGGTGCTGTGGTGTCGGTTGAGTCGCTCGCTTGGATCGAGCTAGCTAGCCGTTTTTGGGCTGGTTGCGCCCAATGGGTCGGGGGGCAGGGGAGTGAGACGACTGAAGGGTCGGCAACGACCCTTGTCTGCAAACAGGGATGTAACTTGGGTAGGTTGTGAGGGTATGGATGGGCATGGAGGGGTATAGAGGCTAGATAGAATGGAGCATGGGGTAAAGAAGGGAGGCGACAAGGCAAGCACAGACAAGCGGAGAGAAAAGGCCCGACCTGACAGTCAGGCTGCTGCTGCTGCTGCTGCACACCGAGGCAGGCAGGCACCAAAGCTGGCTGGCGACCATGCGGACAAGGGGACATTGAGACAGCGGCAGGAAAGCAGCGGGGAAACACCTGACACACGTCCCTTTCCAAGAGTGGCTGGAGGTGGTCGCTCGATCGGCCGGTGGGTCGGTGCTGGCAGCTACTACTACTACAACTACTGCCTGCTGCCACCTTCACCACGTCCACGACTAGTAGCCAGCCAGTCAGGCAACTTTAGAATGACAGCTAACTCCCTTTGCTGTGATGGTTGCTGTTTATGCCGCGCGGACACGCGCACCTGTACGAAACGCACTCAACAACAAACCATTGTAGATAATTGCTCTCAATACAATTTTTTGTCCTCGCTTGCTTACATGGTTACCATACGTAAACATATATTAGATATTTCTGTTTCTTTTTTTAATGTTTATACTTTTCACTCCTATGGAACTCTGTCCTTTAAAAATGCTATTCATGGATATACGTATCTCTTCATATAAATTGCAACGCAACTGCTGAAAACTGAATTAACGACGCTCAAGCTGAGCCCAAACCGCAATTACGAATTATTTCCAATTAATTGTGCCATATGTACATGTGTATACACAAAAAAAAGAAGCGAACTTGTTTGGCGTGCAAAATTCTAGGTAGAGGTTCTCATGGTCTTCGTTGCCGTCTCTTCTCTCTGATTCAACTGAGGTTGAAGAAGTGAAGAAAACGAAGAGGCGCATAGAAGCGAACGATGCAGAGTGACCGGCCAACAACAGGCGACCTGACTGACCGCCTGCGTGCCTGTCCACCGGCCGACACTCCTTGAACCTTTAGGCTGCTATTGCCACCACGTCACCCGTGCGGCCGCGAAGGCCACAGAAGGACGGGCGCTTGGTCAGTCCGTTTGTCTGTTGGCCGAGAAAGAAATGAGGAACGAAAGGGGACAAGGACAGGCCCTGGTTTCTTGTTGTGCTCATGAGTACAGGCGGTCAGCTAGAGCCGTTTTTCTTTTCGTCCTCCTTTCCAACGTGGCATTTCTGTTGCTGCTGCTTCTGTGGCGACGACGACTGCGGCAGTGGCGGCAGCAGTCGTCGCCGCCATCTTACCCCTCAGTCTTTTTCTAGAGCAGTTTCCATCACGGGGTGCACTTTGTGAGTTTGCCTGAATTGCGGCAGCAGCTTCTCTCCAGTGAGTACGGTCTTTCGTCCATCCGCTTGGCGGTCCCTTCGTACCTCGGTCCATGCGCTCCCTTCGTTCCTTTTCCGTTTCGACTTTTCGAGAGTCTCAGAGATCAATACCTATCGCTAGTGGGCCAGTACGGCAGTCTGCCTAAACCAGTAGTTGCGATCTCAGGATCGCAATTCTGCCTGGCCGCCTACGCCGAAAAAGCAAGATGCGGCGCCGTCTTCCTGCTGTTACAGAGAGAGAGAGAAAGCTATGACCGTGACGACTAGTACTACTGCTGCTGCTGCTTCTGCCCCGCCGCGGCCGGCCTCCCTTGGGGCAAGGCGAAGTAATGTAAGAATGCGAAGTGAGAGCGGGAAACGTAGGGCAGCAGAGGCAGCAACCTCTTGCATTTTTCGCCTTTCGACACCGACCATTTCAGTTGCCATGCCGTTCGGTAAGGCAGCAGGCGATGCTATCTTAGCGAGTGCAAGTGCAGTTCGAGTAGACTTACTGGCCGCCAGCTAGCCTTTTTCACCGCCGCTGAAGCGTTAGTGGTCCGAGCGGCTGGTTGGCCGGCCGGTCGGCCAGCCAGCCAGCCAAGTACAGCCTGCATCTGCTGCCCGATTGCGCTTTCAACTCCCCCGCCCCAGCCTTTTCCCGGCCATTCGCCCCCTGTCCCGCCCATTCTGCGCCGATTGCTGGCGGGTGCGAAGTGCGAGGACGGTTGGTAGGCCATCCGAGTCGCTTTGCTGTGGCTGATAAGGCCGGACGATTCTAAGAAGGCGCGACAGAGCAGCACAGAGGGGCTAAAGGAAGGCATCGCAAGGCGCCGGCTGTGGCAGCAACGGAAGTGGACCTCTTGCCTCCGCGCTCTTTGCCGCCTGTACGGCTCAGAATCGTCAGCTGCCTCGCTTCGTTGCGGCTATAGGGGAAGGGAGCGAAGGCGCTAAAGGGGACAAAGGAGCGAGGGCGAATTGTTGCCACGACCAGGGCCAGCAGCAGCGACACATCCGAAGCAAGCGCTGCGAACACGACGATGACGATGACGAAGAACGGAGCAATGCGCGACACCGCTACTACCGCCGACGGTGCCTAGTATTGCCCATGGGTAACAAGGGTTACATTGGTGGGTTACTGCCAACGAAAGAAACTGGCAAAAAGGACAAAAGGGAGTCAGAGGAGACAACGAAGACGACCGGTGTGGGAGGGCGGTTTGTCGGCTCTTCTAAGAAGAGAGGCAGCGTTCGCCTTACATCTCGTCTGCCCCACAACTCTTGTGTCTGTTATAGAACGAGCGACAACTTGAGGGGTCCGCTTGCTTGCTCATAGCGATGACCATCAAGCATAGACTGAAACTGAACAAGAGATCACATATATGTACATATATATATCTATATATATATATATATATATATATCTATATATGTATATATCTATATATATATATCTATATATATATATATCTATATATATATATATATATATATATGGGCATGGAGAGCAGCTGCAGACTGACGTAGGCCTATATACGCAGATGCAGTCGTAGGGGAACAGAGGATCGGTATATAGCCGTCGTTGTGCAATGTACACCGATGGGGGGCAAGTCGATTGGAGAGACTCTCCCGACTTCGCTGACCATACTCGACCGCGTAAGCGGCACCCTTGGGGCCGCCTGCCTCCCTGCCATCCCGCTTCTACGCTTACTTTGCCGATCGGACGAAGAACTGTGGCAGAGCAGCATGTTCTCTGCTGTCTGCAGCATCGACGCCGATAGCGACCGACCGTCTTCAATTAGGGATGTTGTCTCTTCGATGCCTCCGGTATTTCCAAACCGAAGGGATTAACCCTCATTATCGGTCGCTGCGCTCAACAGAGCAAGCATTTCGGTTCGTACCTTGACGCTCTTTCCGCTTGGTGCTTCCTTCTTCCCTTCCGCTAACACTGTGCGAAACGTCTGGCTAGTTCAAGTTCTTTTCGGTTAGGCTAACATTACAGCGCACTCAGCTACTACTATTCTTGTACGAGCATTGTAATGCGTCAGTCAAGGTGCGAGTCTGTTAAGCGTCTCATCTCAACGAGCCTCATAGAAACTGGAGGACTCAATTAGGTCTTTCTAACGGATTCTAGAAATTGATGTTGAATGATTTATGTACGACAATGAATATCACCCCAAATTCATAAGTTACGTCTAAATAAGGAACTGAAAGGATGCGCGTATTGCTTGAGAACTGCATTTTCACTATCGATCAATATCTAATAATCGGTGAATGGCTTTAAGAGAGAAAAAAATAGGTAAGCGACAAATTATACTCTAGTAACTTGTTCAGATCTTCGCCATCGGATATTGCTGGTGGCTCCGTTTCTTAGGGCTTGAACGTGTAAGATGTTCTTCCTTTTTTTTTTTCATATATCTGTCTGTATGTGTTCGGGCATGTCCTTTGGTCACGTGTGAGTTCGTCAGTCCTGTGGCATCTGCGCTCGTGATCCAGATGGGCACACACCAGACTTTGACGACGAGACTGTTTGGCAGAGCGGCACTTCTCCTTAATCCCCGAGGGTACCTTGCCGCCGCAGAACAAAAAGTGGACCTGAGTATTCGAGTTTGCCTTTACAGGTACCCTGGCAGCGAGCTCCACTGGCGACTTTTGCGAGTGCCTTCAAGCCGCTGCTGCTGCCGCAACTCAAGCCGTGGGGCGCAAGAGGAAGCCAGCCAACCAGCCAGTCAGGCAGGCAAACTGGCAAGCAGGACAACGAGAGGCGGGCGGTGGTAGTAACGGCGGCGGCTTTGCCAGCAGAACGAGTGTCCGAGTGCCTCCCGCTCGGCTTCGCTTCCTACCAGAAACGCCCAAAGGCGAGTCGGCTGGCCCTGCCTTTTCCTGCGCCTCGACCCATAGCTTCACCGTTGCACGGCGTCCTTCATAAAAACCACCGGCTGACGTCGGCCGAAGGGCACAAGCTGAGAGACGCAGGCGGGAGTCGTCGGATATGGAAAAGCCGAGTAAGTGCGCTCACCGCATGTGAACCACCCCGAGCTGCCTTCGATGCTGCCACAGCCTTTGCCCCCACTCACCTCCCCGTTCACTCCCCGTTCTCCCACCGCTGCTCTGTCCATCCCATTCGGCTCGATGCCCTTCTCGCCCTTCTCCCCGACACATATTCTGCTGCACTCAACGTTGCGTTGGTCGTTGCTGCCACGCTTGGTTGCCACGCTGGGCCTTCTGGGCTCTGGGCGAGCTCGGAGAAGGTGGCCAAAGCCACCGGAGTTCGCTAGAGCCTCAGGTCAGCAGCACCTAGCTGGTATGACGGAGAACAACGAGGGAGGGGCGGTGGTTGGCCCGCGATGATCCCCTCTAAGGGACGACAGGGATTGTTGGTCGTCTAGTCGGTCGAGTCGTCCCCAATGCAATGGGACGAGGCTTTGTCGGAATACCGGAGGTCGTTTCGTATTCGCCCTAATACTCATGCTCTCTTCGAGCATGCCTCTACTGCTCGCCAGCCACTGCGAGGTGGGTGGAGAGATCTAGCCTGTCGATAGATGCCAGTAGAGTTCTCGTCTGAGGGATGCGGATACGTAGGAAAGGCGGATGGGAGCAAGTGTGAGTAGAGAAACATAGACGAACGGCGATTGGGGGAGCGCGAGCAGATGATCGTCCTTTTTAGTGAGCAGACAAGCTCTAATTGTGGCCAGCTGCGCCACTCTGTCGAACAGCAGCAGCAGCAGCAACGTCGGCTCATCCCCAGCTCCGTCAAAGAAACCAACTTGTCCAGCCGATCATCGACAAAGGGGTCTATCCAGCGGCAACCGATTCATATATGTTTTTAGTTTAGCTCTCCAGGACACATTCTCAAACCCCGGTTTGCTCATTCTCGCCAAACGGCAAACGATGACCCCAGATTGTCAACAGTAAGCATTAGTGCGTACGTGTCATACATATATGGTAGTTGCGGTATTGTATGCGCCAAACTGCACAACGCTATGGATAATGTGAGTTGCTCTTGAAAGCGTATTGATCC